CCCCCCCGCCCCCCCCCCCCCCAATCTAGGAACAAACTGTGGCTTGGGACCTCACTTTAGTTCTCATTGCTTTGAAAAAACTTCCACTTTGAGCCTACAGGGATTTGTTCCTTCTTTCATACCTCACTTTAGTTCTCATTGCTTTGAAAAAACTTCCACTTTGAGCCTACAGGGATTTGTTCCTTCTTTCATTTTGCTATTAAGATTTTGTAACCATTGCTTTGGCAAGGACAGTAAGAGCTTGCATACTTGATAGTTGACCCACCAGATAGTGTTCTACTGAGATAAGCATGTGGATATACAAAAAAAAATCATCTTGGTTTTCTTCCTCAGTCTCTTTTGAATTCCTTATCGAGCAGGATATTCCTGCCAGTATTTTATCCCAAGCCTCATTCTTCTATAGAATAAGTGAGCTACTAGACACGGGATGTTAAGAGAACTTGGCTTGACAGCAGTGGGCTCTTATTTTAATTTCTCATAGGCTTTTCATCTTGGCAAGAGTGAAAGGGGACCCAGATCTGCACCCAGAGTCTGTCAAATTGGGTTGCAGGTTACATTTCTCATGTTGTAAAGTCTTTTTTTTTTTTTTTTTTTTTAAATCACGTCATCCCTTTGTGAGTTACTGGTCCCATTCTGTCAGGATTCAATTCAGCGCCTTTCAAAAATACACACATTTGAGACATTTGCAGGGTAGGCACCTGGTCTTTGTCACCCATTGCCTGCCTCCAGGACTGACATGGCCTTTGATGTTGTCTTGCGATGCATACTGAATCCACTTCTTCATCACCCTGTTTCATGATGGGAGCCTGCTGACATGGAGCACCCATAGGGACACTATTCAGGTAATCTCTCTGTTCACCTTATACAACTTCCAGAGGTATGCCCCTTAAGGCGTGCTAGCATTCACCCTCCTTCCCTTCTGCCTCAGAGCCTTATTTGAAACACGAGTAGTTGAGGAAAAGTTGCCCTGGCATTGGGTCTGCCCCTTCCTGCATATTTTTAAATCAAGGCACAAGAGTGTTCAGGGTTCAGATGCGTATTCCAAGACACTGCCAACTGAAATCTGTTATCAAGACAGCAGGTGCATATATCGCTGTCAACCACCCACTGGGCGTGGGTAGGTAGGATGTAGGTGTTTTAACTCCATTGACTATATAAGAGAGGAAATCTCTCCTATTGATTAGTAGTTGGAGTCTCTCTATGCCCTGAAACATCTGCTTTCTTAACAATAAAGGGTCATTGTAAAGGTTTCCCTAAATGAGTCATTCAGCATATTAACAAAAAACAGCTAACAAAGGCAATATATATATGTGAAATCTTATAGATACAAATGAATGTAAGTGTTAGGCACAGTATTAAATGCTAGAAATATACAGGCCCTTAGTAATATTCTCTGTCTCTTCCTTTATAAACTTAATAAACAAATAGTCTAGCAGCACCTTGAAGATGAACAAAATACTCAGATGGTATCATGAGCTTTCATGGATACAACCCACTTCTTCAGATAACACAAGACAGGCATTTCCACTTGCATCAACCTGGCATGTACTAACAAAATAAGGCACTTTAGGTGATCCTTTGGGAATTGTATCTTTGTTTTTACAGTCATCTTTTTAAAAAAAAAAAAAAAAAAAAAATTGCTCCGTAGTTTAAACTTTTCAGATAAATTGAGAGGCAAATACAAGTCTTTTAAAGCCCGAATATGTTGTCCTGACTGTCCCTCTCAGACATCCAGTAACAGTGAATTGAAGGATTAAATTAGTTAAATAGTGCTATTACCAGTAAAACTGCGATATTAGATTTAAAATCTTATTACAAATTTGACAGAACTGTGCTGTAGTTTCAGGCCACATTATTCTTTAACTTAATCCCAATGACATGATTTGGAGCTAAACTAGTGATTACGTTGGTCTGTTTTAAGATTGCTCATTCTTCTAATAGTTTTGGGGCTTTTAGAAAACATGTCCATTAATCCTTACTTCAGAAGGGTGAAGATTTACTTGTAGCCTATAAACCTGCTGAAGAGCACAAGACTCAATATGCCAACATTCTTGTAGAAGAACCCAACAAATTGACTTACATTGATATTGCTGCTTATCTGAAAGAGCTTTAATCATATAACATAACAGCTGCATTCAGCAAAGTAAGTTATTGTAAATATAAGATAATTTAACTTTTTTCAGGTAATATAGTTTGCATTTAAATCTTAATATGTAAATTCTGAGTGCTTAAACTGCTTCAAAATATTGTCTTAATTTAGGTTGGATGGGCAATGGCCTGAAGGTTTAATGTCTTTAAACAATACTCTGCATTTCAACAGTCCACTGACTTACAATTATACTGGGACTTACATGTGTAAGGTGACCAATTCCCTTGGACAAAAAAGTGATCAAAAGACGATCTACATATTGGGTGAGTTGTTTCGCCCTACCTCTCAAGAATGCTTTGTTAAAATATTGTATCAGAAATTGTACTAGGTGTCTAATTAAATGTTGCTTTTTTTTAGCCATGGTATAGAATGGGTTATTTAAAACCCAGTCTTTGATTAAATTTAACATAAAACTTGGAAGGACAAATGGAAGTAAACATTACCTTAATAGTACTGATGCCATTTCAAAGAGCTAGTGTCAATCATAGTACTTAAAAGACCACAGTGTCAGATTTTATACCAGCTCTATGTGATCATAATAAAGATGAAGTAAACAGTACCATCAGAGCAAGTGTTTGCCTTCCTCTGTGCTGAAGACAGCAGTATTGACAACTTCATGCTACCTAATTTGACATCAGTTGACAAACAGAAGATATTTTCGCTGGTAAAGAGTACAATAAAATTGCTGAGTTTGGGGAGTTCCGGTTGTGTGGTGGTCTCTTGTGGATGGGGTATTGCCACAACTGTTGGTAGACTTTCAGTTAGTAATTAAATCAGAAAAGCACTTACTGTTATAGTTCTTGCTGTGGTAAAGAATCTAAGTAGCAAAGGAAGTGCCATGTAATCATAGTACATTTGCCTTTGAATATTGCAGCAAAGTGGAAGGGTACCATGGTTTAATGACTATCACATGTAGCAGCATTCACAGTAGAGCTGAGACCTAACATATTGCCGTATTGTTGGGTGTAGGCCAAATGGAGTTTACATATTTCTTCAATACATGCAAATGTCTCAGTTAATGTGTAGGAACAGTATTCAGAACAATAACCGTAAATTCATTATATTCTTCCTACATTTTTGAGGGCCAGCCTTCATGGTAAGGTCTGAATTCTCTCTCGTTTCAGCGGTTACCATGCTGATGCCATTGTAGCTAGTGTAAGCTACCGATTGAGCCTGTGGGCCTCTGATAGTAATGAAGTGTCTCTTGGGCTATTGGGGCAGAAAAATTGTTCCCTTTTTTTGAGGTTGTGAATGCATAGTGAATTTGACTAAGATTGCACAAAACAATGTACATATAAAACATCTGAAGTCACAGCTTCTAAATGCTAATTAATACTTGAGCAGGCTTAACTACTTCATAACCACAGGTTTCTGGTGGTAATCTCAGAGCAGGTTTACTATAATCCAGTGGGGAGAGGAAAGGTGAGCAATATTGGACTCAATATACACAAGTCTAGTCTGTCTTGGGGAGAACTGAAACAATGCTGTCAGAGATGGAATTTTAATACTTCATACATTTTAATAAATGCTATTTAAAATATTGAAATGGAAAAAATCCATATAAATAACATGGAAAGAAGGTAAGAATACATTCACAATAAACATAATACATTTATCCTAAGTAGCAATATCGTCATACAGATATGACCTATACATTGCTCTAGGACACAGCTTTTTTGTCTATTTATTTGAACTGTTATTCAACACAGCTAATACTTAATGTTTAATTAGAAATATGGACTACGAAGCTCTGGAAAAACTGTACAAGGCCTATTTAGGTTTTTGAAGATTATGTTTTTAAAATGAGATAAACCATTTCAACAGCAGAATTTATTAAAATGGTAGTTCAGAACTATTTTAGTCCTGCAGTAGTTGACCAGAAAACCTAACACACATGAACGGGAACTGTAACTTTTAAAACTCTTCAGTTGCTTGTTAACATCTACTGCCGAAGAAACCAGCTGAAATTAGCTATTGAAGGTATATATAAGAGATTTTTAACGTAATTAAAAGCATTAATGTTTTAGTTAGGTGCTTTCTGTTCACAATTTTCACAGTAACATACTTTAAGCTTTTCTGTTAACCTACCTTAATGACATAAAGAACATTTTTAAAATGTATTTGTAGCACTAAGTTTCTGAAGATGAAAACTTCTGAATTGAAAAACTGAAATGGTTTTGTACTAAGGTGAATCTTTGTGCATGATCAATAACACAAACAGAAGTAGTTCGGATACTGGTTTCTCCCCCCCTCTCCCCCCCCCATTGGCAGCATTGCAGAAAAGTAATAAAGTTCACATTTTAAAACAATATTAAAATAAGCTTGTTGCAATATCTTCAACAGCTCAATAATCTCCATTTAAATGTGAGTCAATTTGATTCCTACGTAGAATTGCACAAAACTCTCATGACAAGATATGTGCAATGACGCTTGAAATAAAACCATTTCAGCAGTATCTCTTGGCTAGATAAGCTGTTTTAAACTTAACCAGTGTTGCCTTTTTGAGCTCAGATATCACCAGATAACAATGGATATCATAGGAAAGAAGCCATATGTGAACTACCTTTTTAATCTAGTTGTCAGTTGTATAGTAAAAGTTTAAAACCAAAACTTTATAATAGACCATTAACCGTCTCTTGGCATACATATTGGAAGAGTAGCTAAATTCAGATAGAATAAATGGATTCAGAAGTGCAACATAAAAACAAATTAATCCCAACCTGAAAGCATGGCTTGATTTACCATTCTTAAAACAAGACACAAAATATCCTTTTGGTCTCTGAATTTACTGGCTCTTGTAAACATAACACAGAAGGCTCAAGAGTAAATCTTGCAGTAGATTTTCTGGTTTGATGTAAGCAAGAAACAACCAGAAGTGTCCATTTAAACTGTGCTGTTATAAAGGGAGGGGGGGGGGAAACATAGATACCTACTGTTTCATAATACAGGCAGTCCCCGGGTTATGTACAAGATAGGGACTGTAGGTTTGTTCTTAAGTTGAATTTGTTTGTAAGTCGGAACTGGTACATATTGTAGGGGAAACTCTAGCCAAACATTTCTCCAGAGCTCAGTTTTATTCTCCCACACCTCACTTCCCTCAGTTCTTTATTCTCAGCTGAGGTGTCTGCTGAGAAAAGCCGCTCCGCGTCTCCTTGGTCTGCTGGGAGGAGGGGGGGCGCTAGCTTTGCATCTCCCTGGTCTGCTGGGGGGAAGCAGCTAGTGCAGGGTTGCCTCACCCCGTTTGTAAGTAGGGATCCGATGTAAGTCAGATCCATGTAACCCGGGGACTGCCTGTATCTGTAAATTCTAAAGAGATTGTATTTGCTGTTAGAAATTATAATACAATTTGAATATTTAAATATAGTTGAGCTTGAAAAACTCTTAGTAGTGGCTTTTACTGGATAGATTGCATCTGTATACAAAGACTGCAGCAACATTAACATCTCTAAAGTGAAATAACCACAAACTTATAAAATTGTTGCTCCTTCCCCTCTGCCCCTTTTTTGTTTCCCAAGAGAATAAGAGTTCTTAAATTTCCAAATGCAATTGTTTCCACTAAAAGTCAAAAGGTATTTATATCTAAAACTATTTCAGTCATCTTAACACATCTGTTCAAATTTTCCAACTGATGATTTAAAAAAAAAAAACAACCCTTGAAACCTTAACATACCAGTCTGGAAGAACGGTCAGAAAAACTTGCTAGCCAGTCATTAATCTTTACTTAAACATTGATAATGGTAGTGACTAAGGAAAAGCACACCTTACTCACTAGTGAAGGGGCGGGGGAAGTAGCCATATATAAACTGAAATTTGTACGGCTATTGAGCTATACAGTGAGTACAAAAGAAATTGGGTGTTAATGTATATGATTGCAAATATGCATTCTAATATTATTGACAATTGTATCTCCCTTAATTTATATTATGAAGTCTTACTTGTCAACTTCCGTAGGCTAAGAATTTCATTTAAAAATAAACTTCATAAACAAGAAAAGTAAAAACCAGACTGAACACACAGTTAATATGTTTCTCGTCACTTTCCTAAATTGAAAGATAAAAAGTATTTGGAACTGAGCTTAAACTTGATGAGGATTCTTGCCTGATCATATATCTGACATTAAAATGCCAAAATATTTTTGTGTGTGTTTGGTGTGGGGGTTTTTGCCTTTTTTTTTTTTTTTTTTTTTTTGGGGGGTGGGTGTATACAATAGAGGTCATAGCAGAAACAATGTTTATTACAGCACAACTCCTCCTTCACAAGAAATGAGTAATGTCTTTCAGCTGGAATTCAGAAGCAGTCCGCTGTTGCTGAAGACTCCAGAACTTAGAACCCAGGCTCCCAGGAGTTATGGAACTCATTTTCTCCCATCCACTTGGTTGTCATTTTTACTCGTATTTATCTTGACTTTGTCAATCTCTTGGAGTGTTCTGCCTCTCCTCAGATCAGAGATGACTAGAGCACCAAGAGTGTAGCTTTCTAGTACAGGAAACCCTTGACATACGACCGTCCGAGTTCCGACCCCCATACTTAAAAATATTTTTATAAGTGCAGAAAGGGCTGCAAATCCCCGACTTACGTCCTTGGTCCACATTTACGGTGGCACAGAGCGCCTATCATAAATGGGGGTTCAAGTTATGATGCCCCCGTCTTGTGATGCTTCCCCAGGAACCAATCGTGTCACAAGTCGGGGGCCGTCTGTACCTCCGGCATAGCACCTTTCTAGCAAGTTGCCTCTGTTCCCACTACACTTACAGGAATAGCTCTTCAAGTCTGGAAAAAATTCAGAGGTGCAGCTTTTCTGAAACATAAGAGGGCTGCTGAAAGACACCAACACTCTTACTAGTAGGCCATCAAGCTTGGAATTAGCCACTCATACTAGTAGGCTATGGCGGCGAGGGGGGGACTTAACTCCTGCCTGAAGCCACAGCTCTGCCACAGCAAGGTTTTCTCAGGGGCTTTAAGTGTCTCAGCCTGCTCACAGAGGTGTCATGCAAATCTGAGTGGCTGTGGTTTGCAAAAATACAGAAGTACAAGGCAGTAAATGGAAAACTTTGAACATGCAGATAGGAAATAGCAGGTGTAGGCAACAGGATGAGAGTGATGTTTCCAGTGCCTGGGCTTGAGGTCCAAGTTGCCCAGGAAATACAGAATAAACTTGGCCGACGATCCAAGAATAGGATTCTAAGAAACTAATTTATCAGAAAAAGTATATTCCTCAGCGTCTCTAATGTCAACTTGTTAGCTACTGTGTACTCCTGGAAAA